GACATCGTACCCATTATTTTTTTTTTCGGCAGATATTTTGACTACAGAGAACCGCCGGGAGAGGACAACCCGTATTCGCTCTCCCTCGTCTACTGGCAGATCTTCACCGCCCGCCTCATTTTCGTCGTGGTATTCGAAGTGAGCGGTCCTTTGAATTTCAACTGCGAGTAGTTCGCTTTAAACCGCAACCACAGTCACACTCCTTGTACATGGTACAAAAGACACGGAGTTTCTCTGCAGACATGATGAAGAAATTATCTGCGTCTCAAGCACGTCCGAAGATACACGGCTCAGACAGTGTCCGCATACTGTGTCTTGTATTAGGTAGGCAGTGTGACCGCGACTTTGGGGGTTTTGAATGGGCTGTGTGAGAATTTATTTTATTTTATTTTTTTTACTTTGAGATGTTGCTTACAGTTAATTTTTGGTAAGACGCGTTCGGTTTTTTTTCCTCTTTGTGAAATGGCAGTTGCAGAAAACATTATGTGCCAAAAACAGGCAATGCTGACCCACTTAACTCGTTGCCAGACCAAGTGACCAAGCGGTCTGGCGCCGATGGTACAGCGTGTATACACTAACTGTTCGATCCCACTTTGGACAGTCCGCAAAAATGTGTTTCTCAACGTATCGGGTTGGGATTTAGTATACAAAGGTGCGTCTAGGTGGTGCACGCAGGGAGTTCCGGGCGACGCAGACGGTGCTCGTTGACTTGGAGACGCTGCCGACAGATAGCGTATGTATGGAAAGCGCTTGGGGCGCACCAGTTCTGGTTTCAATAACAAATGATTTGCCGAAATATTTTTTCTGTAGCTTTATTTTTCGGCAGCTTCTCCAAGTCAACAAACACCGTCTGCGTCGTCCGGGAAATGACGCCGTAGACTTCCTGAAACTGGTTGTTCTCTTTTCTTTTCTTTGTTAACCAGGTAGCTTTATCCATTGATATTTTATCTCCCTGCGTGCAGGATCTAGATTCATCTCTGCAGTGAATCCCAGCGCGATACGTTGAGAAACCGGTTTTTGCGGACCACCGAAACTAGGATCGAATCGGGGTCTCACTGCTTATACATTATACAAAAGACGGTCTGCATACAGATTCGAACGCGGGTCACTGCGTTCGAATCTGCATCAAATGCCGCGTGGCAATAAGTTCAAGGAGAAAACTTGACAAGCGGCATTCGAACCGCGGAAATCGAGGTGACTCCTGTTTGCAGTCTCTATTTTGTGAGATGAATGAGCAGTGTGACCTATAGTGTAACCCCGCCTTTAGTGTACACGCTGTATACACCACTCCAGTATTTCCAAGTCCTCAGCCTAGCGTGCGACCTCCTCAGCCTGGCGCGTGCAGGTTCGTCGCTTCGCGAAGCGAGCACATCACGCACGAACACTGAAAATGGAACCGGCCTGGAGCACTTTTAAGGAAGGTTTCTATACGTCGCGACTCCAGCGACCTATAGGGGACGCCACTATCGGGTCAATATGGCGGTCTAATACAGGTCGTTCCGTGCCATGTGACAGCTGAACGCTCAATTCTGGCGCATCACCAAGCGAGCCTTGGACTTAAAATGGTTTGCCCCGCTTTTTATTCTCCACGTTTCGAACCTGCGGCGATGTGTTGAAGTGAGCAAGCTTCCAAAAACTTTCTTCTTCTTTTCTTTGAGAAAGCGATGATAGGACGGTTTACAGCCCTTCCATGGTGCTGGAGAACGCTGCTAAACGCGGAATGTCTGGTTCACGCGGTTGCGTAGGTTCCGTGCAGAGCAATGTGGGAACATGGTGATACTACAGTTACGAAAGAGTCACCGGAACAACTCTTTTATCGCGCAAACCACCGACCACATGTAATCACGGAAGCCGCAAGAGACGAGCAGAAATAGCTAAAGGGCCTGATCCGGCGAGTTCAGTGTTTTCCCAATAGGTTCCGTTCGTTTTCTTTGAATCGCGACGGTCTGGGGTACGCAGGGCATACGGGCCGCGTGCCTTGCCAACTCCAGACATTGTTAGAGTTTGGCTATTCCCGCCACAGCAGCAATCGAACTTGAGCCACTACCAGAATGCTCGCCGAAGCGTTGATTGTCACGAGCCAAAGTGGAGTTTTTCTCACGCTGCGCTCTTGTCTAATCTATGAGCCGCATATGACTATCCTCACCATGGGGTTGTCCCCGTGACTACGACGACGCTGCGATTCCCGTGATTACACTATCGAGGAATTTTGCGAAGCAGCGACTGAAAGAGAGAGTCCGGTTTCGTTTCTCAAAAAGTACACCACCGAGACGTGTAGGTGAATACACGCGTTGTACTTTTATTAAATCAGTTTAATGAAGTGAAATGTGCTCAATCAAAACAAACTTCCAACTTTAAAAAAAATGTCCTGAAAAACGATAAAGAAGCGGACTTTTTTTCCGGCAATTAAAGATTTGACATAATTTAACATATCTTCGTTTCCTACTGGGCACATCAAATTTGTGTCACGCGATTCTGTTGGTGTGGCGTTTGCCAACACCACCCAAAAGATGTCTACACCTTTCCCCACTCCAGCGTCATCACCAGTAAATCCACAAAGCGCCAGCTATCTTGCGCCTGCGTCAATGTCATAGCTTCTCGCAGCGTCTTCGCGAGCGGGAAGCCAGCAGGCGACGAGCCCGAGACGCAAGCGTCCGCCACTTTGCAGGGCACGCTCTCCTCGAACTTCAGCGTACTTGCCGCTTGGTCGGGGGGCAATCCACCCACGCTGACGTATAATGTGCAGGACCTGTCTTCTACAAGATGTTTTTAAGCACTATTCTGGCGCAAAGAAACTTGTATAATACGCCAACTCAACTCTCTGAGCTTACGGGTCCACTGCGGTGGCGCTGCTGTTGGCACTGAGCATGTGCACAAGCAGCACGGGTATCTGGTTTCTGTGCACGCGCAGAGCCCACACCTTGTGCGGACTATATGCCGACTTGTTCGCAAACAGCGCGTTGGTCTATAAATACAAACCAATGAACAGACACGAGGAAATTTTTACAAAATGTGTCTTGAGGTAGTGTATTTATCGTACCCAAATTGCACGAGTGTAGGTTTTAAGGAAAAAAAAAACTGCAAGCATAAGAAATCTCGATTTCTTTCCCTATGCAAAGGGACGAAAATGGTAAACATTGCCTGGTTGCCGCTGCTTCTCATAGGTGGCACAGTATAAAACAAAAACGTAAGCGCTTCTTTGAGATGAACACCCCAAAAGCAACTCCAGAAGATCCTAGGGTGTGTGGAAACATCTGGGAGTAGCAGCATCAACCAGACGTTTTTTAGCCATTTTCATTCTTGTGAATATACGAACGAAACACAATTGTTTAAGTTAAAGTTATGTTTTTCTAAAAGCCACACTCGTGAGATTTGAAGATGATAAATGCACAACCTATTGAAACCTCCGAGTAAATTTTTGGAGCACTCCGTTTATTGGTTTATATTATCCCGTTCCTTTTTCTACGCCCGAATCGGTGGAAATACCCTGTAGGTAACGTTGCATTTATATATTCGTTGCAATGACCTTTCCAGCACATCGTGTTCGCCGTCACGGGACTCTTGGACACCATAATACCGGACGTGCCTCGTTCGGTCCAGGAACGTATCAAGAGAGAACAGATCGTGACACAAGAGGTCTTCTCCGAGCACGAACGCACCAGCCCTAGAACGCCTTCCGAAGCTGTACCGAAGACGCCCGTCGCTGCCATCCAGCCGCCTGCCGAATAGCCTGCAGACATGCTCACACTTAACTACCCCTGTCCCCAGAACATCTCAGACAGACGGAAATATCCAGAGCGTCACGGACACGCTTCCCCGTATGTCCAAGACGCTCTGCTTTCAGCAGTCTTCAGAACGTCTTCGAGACATTGTCCTAGACACCCTGGAAACTGAGCTTAAGCATTCCAAACTCTAGAGCGTCTGAGACATGTTGTCCGAATGTCTGAGGTCATTGGGCCATCTTCTGCTTTTGCCGTCAGGCTTCTGCGAAATCAAGTTTATCCAGGTCATAAGTTTGTTACAGAGTCTGCAGAAGATAGGTATCTTTGCGGAGGGGTTAACTGTGAGTATGTCTGCCCTTTGTTGCTGTTTCTTATACTCCGTTCACCGCTAAGCTGACAAGACAGTAGAAGCTGCGACCTCGCCTGTCCAATCAGTTGTCCGGGTTTTATGACCTGAACCCACTCCTGCGCGCAAAGGTCACGCGCGGAGCGTGGCCTTTGTTTGAGCACAGATTCACATGGAGCAAGACTGACGATAGACTGGCCCGAAGGGCACGTAGCTTCTACCGCCCTGTCAGCTCGGGGAATGGAGTAAATCGACTTATTACGAAGTTGGTTTTACTCAGCAATCATGCCGTTTAATTTGGGAACGGTTCTGTGTGGCGCTACATAGGTTGAGTGAGCACTGGAACGTACAGCTTGAGCCACACTCTGCAGTACATTCGATCGGAATTGGCTGTAAATGTTATTTAATTATTTATTTAAGTGTATACCTGCTGCGCTGTTGAGCATTATGCATGGTGGGTACATAAGTGAAAACATCAAAAACATAAAATGCACATCAAAACACGTCTCGATGATATCAAGTGTGGTCTGACACGGTCCTGATACGAGCAAGCTGGGCAGAACATAATGTCATGTGCAGTACTTACGCCGCTCTGGTTTATCTTTTTGTCACACTCTGATTAATCACGGGACATCAGGATGTCGAGTCACGATGTGTCACGACGTTAAGACTACATTTTTTTGTCGCGTATTTGTTTTTGTAAGGGGGGAAGGGAAATCCTACTTTTTATTTGTTGTATGTAAAAAAAAGTGTGACAACAAAGGTAGCTCTTCCACAAGCTTAATTTTCGCAAAGCATGATATTAAAGGAAGGTTAGACACGAGTTCAGAGGATAATTTGTCTAAAATTGGCCGTGCCACTATTTCAACCTTTCTTTCAACCTTTACAGACACTTTCGATGTCAGCCTTTAGTAAATTTGAAAGGGGCATAGGTCTGCTCTCACACTCTGAGACAAATAACGTGTTCAACGTTTTGCTCATACTTTCGAGTATTGCTCTCCAAAGTATGAGCCATAGCAGGATGGGTTTAAACAAAGGAACGTTAGACACCAAATTTTTTCATATTGGTGGACAATATTTATGATCATTTTCAGGTACAAACCAAAACACGCTGACAAACGCACTCTCACACTTTTAAATTGTATGAAAAAAGAACGTGGTTTATGCTCTTTGAAATGGGCTATGAAGTGATTTTTTCATATATACATTAAATTCATGATTCTGACAGTGACATGGGTGCAGGAAACTTTTGGCACTTAATAGGTGACACACAAGTACTCTCAAAATATATGTCTGTATTGAGAGTTTATTTACTTTTAATACTGAAACATAACTTGGGCTATTCGGTGAACCAGCGATAAAGGATATAGTTTTTATTTTTGGTACGAACACACATTATACACCAGAACAACCTGTGCTTTGTTAAGAAGAAAAACGTCCTCCAAGGCGTTCACGTGACTATGTTGTTCAAACTGCCTTGTGTGTGAGTTTTTGTTGATCTATGACGATTTTTCCCCGGTTTTTTTAAAACAACACTGTACACGGTTCAGGGACTATCATACTTCATAGCATTCATGAAGGGTAGAAGTTAATGCATTGAGATTCCGTTTCTACAAAAAACTGATCGCATGGGTGTTTATTAATATTGACATTACAATAAGCTTCACACACTGCTTTAAGGCTAGAAATCATTCAGTAGACCGAGGACATTCACTGCACATAAGGCTTAACCGTGTACTGTCATCATTCTTCAGGGATAAAATGTAAACATACAAAACATAAAACAATGCACTTGATTTACAAATTCTCTCCTGATGTTGCTACATGTTTACGACGTAATGATGGCGTCCACTAGGTGAGTACAAAGATGCTGGTGCAAGCATTCGCGAATAGGCAAGCTTTTAGGTTGCGGATTCGCGAAGTTTAAGCTTCTAACTTTGCGTTGTTAGTGCTACATTTTTAAATAAATATTAGCTTCTTGTAGTATACGGCTCAGTATTCTTATAAACCAAAGCGATCATCCAGGGTTTTGTCTATAATCTAAATAGTTTCTCTAAACGTTTTCATAAAAGCGATGCATCCTGTGTAATGCCAAATGCAACTCCTTCATTTTGCCGATTGCTGGACGCTATAGGCCTTTTCCGTATGCTCTCGTCCCCAGCCACGTAGTTCACACACCAGGTATGGGCAACGAGAGAAACACCAAAATATTACAACCTGGACCGAGTAAAATGATATAGACCAACACGCGGCCCCGACGTCACGCAGCTGCGGTGGCGCTGTCGACGGCACTGAGCACGCGTAGAACCTTCACGCGAATCCTGTTTCTGCGCGATTGTCCGTCGCGATTGACCGATTGACCGTCGCGATAAAATCCTGAACACCTCCCAGTTGCGTGGCGAGGGCATAACGACGTTTTCCCCCACGCCGGAAGCTCCACAATTCAAGATGGCGGCCGCTACGCGCAAAAGGTATTCACTACGTTTCGCCGTAAGTTCAGACGCAGCCGACGCTAGGAGCAGATGAGACCAAACAAAACGCGTCAAAAGCGCACAAACATGGTCTTCGTAATGTTTCTGTACTCGTTCGATCATCGCTGAACCAACCATAAACAGAAGAGGCCTTTAATGACTTGCTCCTTTGAAGCTTTTTGATTGGTCCACTTACCCCGTACATTTGACTGCGTCTGAACTTAAGCTGAAAGGAAGTATACAGCGCGAAACCAACCAATTATTGGTTTGTTCATACAAAGTACTAACCAATATAAATAGAAATCCTCAGTTTGACTTTTATCGCTTAGGAACTGTGCCCTATTAGCGAATTAGTCTCATGTATAAACACTAGAAAAATCTGTCCCTGTGCTCTACGGTCCACTAGCCAAGAGAAAACGACACCGATGTTTTCTTATGTACCGTACTGAGATGTTCTCTCCTGTAGCCATTCAGAGGAGAATGGCAGGGCGTCTCTTTCTGAAGTCCGGCCTCCGTCACGCGCTCGTTGCCTTCCGTAGTGCTTTGGACGCGATTGCACGCTCGAAGCACGCAAGACGCCGACACCTTATCGGGGCTAGAAAGCTGCGTTGGATGCTGGACAACTAAGGACCTCCCTGGCGTTCTAATCCTGTCAAACTATATCACCCTCTTCGTGTTTCATAGCATAGTGGGACACCAGATGTTTCGAACACGTCTCTGACTGGTGCGTTTAGACGTCCACGCGTCGGTGTGGGTGTACACGAAGCGGTAGCGAGACAACTTAAGAAATGTGGCGAATCGTCGCAATCTTGGTGGCTGCTCCTTGTAGAAGCGGAAACATAACTATACATGACAGACAGATGAGAGTTGGTGTCGCAGACGTTGCGGCGTCCCAACCTGTAGCCGCCGAAGCGTAGACATGAGTGTGGAGCATGAAAATTAATACGATTTAAATCTCGATTTAAATTATTATTTATATATTAAACCAGCGCACTTGCTGATATCGTCCCCTGCTTTCGCGCACTTGCCTCCGTCGTCTGCTATAGCCGATTCTATACAGGCTGCTCCCGGCATTCCTTTCGCTCCACCGGTGGCGCTGTGGCTTTGCAAAGGGTCTGCTATCGGTAGCAGATCGAGCTACAGCTGAACAGGCCTCTATCGCACATCAGTATGATTCGCTGCTATCCGCAGCATTCCTTAACTGTGACGTCACCATTTCAAATGGGGAGGACAGGGGACGCGATAAACGTACCAGTCGCAGACAAGTTCAAGGCACTATAGCGCGACTAACGAGCACTGAAAGTTTGCCCAGGTGCCGGGCAAGTCGCCATTCTTACAGGTCCTGTTCACTCCACGCGCGTTTGACTACCGCAGAAGCGATCACAGGGCAAGGTGCGCGGAAGTGCCTAGCGGACTCCCTTGGGTGTGACTTTGCAGACGCAGTGGTGGTTGACGGAGACGTAGCCCCATTTGGCGGTCCGGTCTTCGCCCTCCAGCGGCCTGTAGTAGAGGTACATCCAGCCCTTGCGTTCCGTGCACTCGCTGTCGTAGCTGCAATACAGGCCGGTAGAAATGGCATGTTGATGACCCGAGAGGGAGAAATCGATGCTGGTACAAACAGCACGCTCAAAATCCCAAATGAAACGCGCATTGACAAGTTATGTACGACGTCAGCAGTGATGGCAGGGCAGGCTTTAGACCGGGTTAACAGCGAAAGTTTTTTTTAACAAGACTCCATTTTCTAATCTAATACATGCAGGCATGTCGGCTGCCAATAGCTACTTGTAAAACTGGTGCGTAGTGGTGACAGTAGAAAATTAAAAACACCAAGAAACTGATCTTGATTTTGAAACGATTGCACTCCGACTGTTTTGCCCACAGACAAGCTTGTCTGTGGACGGTTGGAGACATTCAGTCGCCCCCAACAGACACTTTGACAAATTGCCCGAGCACCATGGAGAATACTGAGGACATAGGTGCATATTCACAGTACGTGCTCAACTTATATGTCTAAACAATTTGAGATAAATCATAAAAACAACCTTTACGAACGTTGTAGGAGAAGCGCTAAAGTAGTGAATAAAAGGTTAAAAAGCGCGAACAAACGAGGACAATAAAGAAACACGGACGACAGGACAGGCGCTTCACTCTCAACTGGTTTTTATTAACACCATTGTCACCTATATATACACATTGCCCAAACCACATCGGATTCAATCGCGACAATCAGAGCCAACCTTCCAGAAACACCATCTCACTCTGGAGCAAATACAAAGACGGAGCGCTGACGCAATTGTTTTCTTTCTTTTTTATGTAGAATGCCTCTATAATCTCTCTTTCCGTTTTTTCCTTTGCCTTTCTTAAAAACTTTGTGCCAGTCAGGTCAGGTTTACATCCACATCGCCCACAATGGTCAGCGAGATGGCCCCCCGCGTTGTTGCGCACACACAAATTATGTTCACGTGCTCTATCATTGAAGCAGCGCCCAGTCTGCCCAATGTAGACTCTGCCACAACTAAACGGAATCTCGTACACCACATTGGTGACGCACGCAGTATATTGCACCGCGTGTTTCTTGGAGCACGGTGCCTTTTTCTGCCTTGTCAACATCGGACATATCCTGGCAAGTTTACACGGTGCAGAAAAAACCACGTTAATGTCGTATCTACCGGGATACGGTCCATTCGTCACATGCACACTCGTCACAGGACGATTGGTCACAGGACGATTCGTCACACAGGAACATTCGTCATAGGATGACTCGTCACGCGGCCAACCGGTCCCACAATAGTTCGTCCCCCCAAAAATGTATTGTTCAATTTGGTTCGGGCGGACAAAGGCGAAGAATTTGTAACGAACGTTTTAGCTTCTGATTCGGTCCCGAACATTGAATGTTGGTTGGGCCTCACAAAGTCGGTCACCTCTTATCTTAGCATGTCTTTCGCTTCTCGAGGTCAAGGAATTTGTAACAGACGTTTTAGCTAACTGGGTCCGTCCAGAACGGTGAATGCGGAGGCCATAGAAGAGCGACTATTTTTGAACTCAGACTCAAAAGGATGGAGCTGATCGCAACAGAGAGAGCCATGGTGCTGCACGAGGGGTACACATTCGGCAGAAGGAATTCCGATACTTGGTTTTGTCGAATAGGTGTATGCAAGGCAAAACTAAAAACTAATTTGGCTGCCAGTCGGATTATTGCTCGTTCAAGCCTGCAACTGAGATCAACCTGCTCAAGACCCATAATATGATGAAAGGAAAAGCGGATGAGTATTGTAATATTAGTTTATATAACCATTGGTTTACGTGACAGTGGAAAATCGCGAAACTCCTCATCAGGGTATGTGGGCAGATGTTGAAATTTACAATTTACTATCGTCCCCTGCTCGATCAAGAATCCCGGACAAAAGCTCACCGGACAAAAGCTCACCGGACAGAAGCTCACCGGACAAAAGCTCACCGGACAAAAGCTCACCCATTTTTTCACTGACCCGGACAAAAGCTCACCCATATTTTCACAGACCCGGACAAAAGCTCACCACGAGAAAATTTCATGTTGGTCTTAACACGAGTGCGGACAACTTAGGTGCATGCGTGCGACACAAAAAGGCAACGATAAATTAAATCTGACAGGCGCATGGTTTGTTGATTTTAGTAGAAACAAGTTTATTTATCGATTGGTTAGAAGCGAATGCAGTCCCCCACTAGCTCCAGCAGTCTTGGTAGATCTCGATGTACATGCAAGCCCTCGCAAATATTTCTAAGACGATTCTGCAGGTGCAGAGTAATTTTTCGCACCCGCTTTACGTTGGGCTCACCTCTCCGGGCTTTTGTCAATGCCGTGGCAACGAGCGCCTGATTTTGCTGTAGGCATTCAATCAGCCTCAAGACGCTTGGATGGGCGTGGCCGACGAGCTTTTCTGGAACCCGGTACTCTATCTTTTGCAGGTGTTGCTCATCCGGTCTTTATCTTGAAGAGTGGTGTCGTACATATTCCACCGTACCGGGGGAAACTCCGGTCACCGTCGGCGCAGAGTCAGGCGAAGGGAAGAATTCGCTCTGGGTGCCGCCGCAGATGGAACAGGAGCATAACGGAAGCGGCCGTTGACATACGTTCGATCAAAATAGTCCAGCAGGTAGCCGATGTCACCGGAAGACTTTTCCCTGGTGGTTAGTTCTTGTTGAACAAGTTGTGGTGGAAGGAATCTGAGCCTATCTAAAATCCCGCACAATTTTTTTTTAAATTGGTCATCTGTCTTGTACTTTTCCAAAAGGCCGAACTCCCGTTCTTTCAAAGTATTTTTAAAAAATTCGCAACTCAATGGTGGATGAGGTACAAGTGCTCCTAAAAATGATCCAATGTCCATTGCGTCCGCACTTTATTTCAGCCCGTGTTTCGGCCGGGTACGAAAAAAAAAAAAGAAATCGAGGTGAGCTTTTGCCCGGGTCTGTCAAAAAACGGGTGAGCTTTTGTCCGGGTCTGTCAAAAAACGGGTGAGCTTTTGTCCGGTGAGCTTTTGTCCGGTGAGCTTTTGTCCGGTTACCTCGATCAATGTGACCAGTTGCCCGCATGACGAGTCATCCTGTGACGAATGTTCCTATGTGACGAATCATCCTGTGACCAATCGTCCTGTGACGAATGCGCATGTGACGAATCGTCCTCATCCCGTATCTACCAGCTACCTTTTTTAGATTATGAGATAGGGTATGCATGTACGGAATGACTTGCACTCGTTTCTTTTCTTTACGTGCCTCGCTGCCTTTTTTACTTCTTTTTAGCTTTTGAAGAAGGCTCTCACAACAACTAGAGATTAGATTAGAGGGGTACCACGCGTCTGTTAACCTTTTTGATTGTCGTTCAAAACTGATTTTCATCTGGTGGTCGCAACTTTTTTCCAGAGCCGCACTTAGACATGTCAAGGCTATACCCCTCTTTACCAGTTTAGAGTGAGCACTTTCAAACAACACCAGGCTTTTCTTAGTGCGCGGACAATACTGCCAACAGACATGTTCTTCAGAAAAAAGGATCAAAATGTCTATAAACTGAATGCAGTTATTCACAGGCAATTCCCAGGTAAAATTAAGCCCGCCTGACACCTCCCTAAACAGTCCGACAATCTTCTCAACCGTTTTCTCCAAACCCGAGTCTGTAACTAAAATTAAAAAATAGTCATCTACGTATCTATACGTCTTTAAAACATGGAAATCTGCAAGAAAAGAAACGAGTGCAAGTCATTCCGTACATGCATACCCTATCTCATAATCTAAAAAAGGTAGCTGGTAGATACGACATTAACGTGGTTTTTTCTGCACCGTGTAAACTTGCCAGGATATGTCCGATGTTGACAAGGCAGAAAAAGGCACCGTGCTCCAAGAAACACGCGGTGCAATATACTGCGTGCGTCACCAATGTGGTGTACGAGATTCCGTTTAGTTGTGGCAGAGTCTACATTGGGCAGACTGGGCGCTGCTTCAATGATAGAGCACGTGAACATAATTTGTGTGTGCGCAACAACGCGGGGGCCATCTCGCTGACCATTGTGGGCGATGTGGATGTAAACCTGACCTGACTGGCACAAAGTTTTTAAGAAAGGCAAAGGAAAAAAACGGAAAGAGAGATTATAGAGGCATTCTACATAAAAAAGAAAAAAAAAGAATTGCGTCAGCGCTCCGTCTTTGTATTTGCTCCAGAGTGAGATGGTGTTTCTGGAAGGTTGGCTCTGATTGTCGCGATTGAATCCGATGTGGTTTGGGCAATGTGTATATATAGGTGACAATGGTGTTAATAAAAACCAGTTGAGAGTGAAGCGCCTGTCCTGTCGTCCGTGTTTCTTTATTGTCCTCGTTTGTTCGCGCTTTTTAACCTTTTATTCAGTAATGGACCAACTAGCCCAAACCCAAGTTTTAACGCTAAAGTAGACTCACTCACCCTCACACTCACACTCACACCAGAAAAACGGTCACTCACGTCGCGCTTCTCCTACAACATGAATATCCAACTCGCCCAAGCATCCATTCTTTACGAACGGACTTGCAAAGTAAAATTTTGTATAATCTTTAGGACGGCTATTGATGGAGGTGCCAGGACGTGAAGCGCGTGTAACTACACCTGCAACATGCTCCTTATGCTTTTGTAACTAAGCAAAGTGCCTACTGAAACTTGCGCTTGCAGTTCAGCCAGAACTTGTAGCTGCTGATCTTGCCTCTTTGCTGCGCGACTATCTGAATTTATTTCATACGACATGACGTGCAGTTTTTTTTGTTTTTTTTTTTACATTTTTGGCAATTAAGACGAACCTAAGTTTTTCAGGCCAAGAAGTGATTTGCTTATGAGAAGTGCCCTGCTCTCTTATCTTAATCTCGAGTTACAAAAAGTCTTGTTCCGTCTTGGTAAGTTGTGAAAGGCATACTCACAGCGCCGAAATGGCTGTGCACGGGTTCTGCGCCGTGGCACAGCGATAGGAAAAGACGTATTGCTGGACCTCGTCTTGGACGATTTCGACCTCGTGACCGTCGTAGTCCTGGGTCCTGTTCAGCTGCTCCCACTGAGTTGTTGTCTGACAGATTTCCTCCGAAGGAAGAACGAGAGCCCCATTGCGCTTGTGGAACACCCACTTGCGTCTGAAACAAAAACAAAACAAAAAAAGTTGGTGGACGCTAAGCTTTGCCTTTAAGAGTGGAACGCGATAACGTTATCGGGCCTCGTTCGCAAAGCTCGTTCCCAAGCAGTGCAAGCGTGTGTGCGTGGTCAAGCGTGACGTCATAGGATGTAACTTCTGACGTCATTTCCCGTGACGTCACACGTGACTGTGACGTCATGACCCTATCGACCCGCTAAACTTAGTGGAACATTTTCCGCTAAATTTGGCGGGATAATGTTTCGCTAAATTTGGTGTGAGAATATTCTGCTAAATTTAGCGGGAAATTTTCCCACCAACTTTAGTGGGTCGTTAGGATCATGACGTCACAGCCACGTTTGACGTCACACGGATGACATCACGCGTTTCTTAATAACGAGAATCTAGAGTTCTTGATCAGGTGAATCAAAACTCCACCCAGACAGAAAACAACCGGCGCGCCAGTGGTCCTTTTCAGGTGAAATACCGCTTTGTGGCAGGCGCTATAAACACCATCGACCTCTCAATTCCATGATATATGTTAATTTCCTAGTAACTTTACGTGTTAGTACGGTAGCGGCAGGGCTTCTTTTTCGGAGGCCCGACCTCTGGCCCGCTGGGCCCGCGCATGTTGGCTTCCGCCGCTCTTTGACCGCAAATGCAAGCTCAGTGTTCATGATACTCCGAAGTGTAATCAAAGGTCGTAAACTGGCGCTGGAGGCGGGAGAACTGAAAGATACCCGTGTCGTTCTCATCTTGTCAGTAACTATACTGGTCATGACGTTCGGAACTATAAGGCTACCGTTATCGATGGCTACATTCTAGTAATCTAGTTAATCGTTCGGTTCCCGGAAACACCGGGAACCGAACGAGGGGCGAGACATATCTCTCCTAAGCCACCCCGATGGATCCGAGGCAAAGCGACGGCCTATGGATCCCTATGTGGGGGATTCGAATCCCTGTCGAGGTGCCCGCAATTCGAGAAAGGCGCAGAGAAGGCGCCGTGTAACCGAGATTTTGGGTGCACGTCGAAAGATCCCCAAGTTGTTGGAATGAATCCTCACTACTACGCTGGAGCTTGACAGATGCCTTACCTTCTTTTGCACACGAAACCCTCCATATTTGACTTTAAAAGCCCCTACGCACATTTCCGTTGGAACGCGGTGGGTTCCGTAGTGGCAGGCGGACGCGTCGCGTCGCGAAGAGCGCTTGCGCCAAGCTTGATACAGACAGTTGCGTTGACACGCAGCCAACCGCAGTCAAGAGCCAATAAGATTCTGCTATCATCGCTAGCAGCCCATAAATGGTAAGCGAAATCCACGGCAACGTGGCGGCGCCCGGCGACAGCGCATAGAAGTGTTCGTTCTTGGGAAAACCCGTCGGGTTCCCCGACGACATTCTGTCAAGCTTGAACCATCGCAGCCACTGGAAAAGCAGTCCCCACCGCTCCCACAGCGAAAAAGCAAGTTCTGCGAGCGGAGAGCCGGATACGCATCGTCGAGTGGTGCGATCGAACACGTGACCCTCCTCCTCTTTCTCGGCTTCTGATTGGTCAAACGCACCGCAACACTTTGCAAGGTTAAGCCTGTCTACTTCCTTTGCGTCGCGCTACCGAGAATTGCGTCTTGGCGCGCCTCGTACCGCAAGCGACAGTTCCTGGCTACAAGGACGCCGCAACGCACTCAAACGCGTTCAAGCGCTGATGTGCCTAAAGCCTGGTTCAGACAGTTGCGTTTGACTGCGTTTGACTGCGTTGCGGCAGCGAGAAACCAGGGCATCCCTGCTTCTTACATCGCGTGCCAAGATGATTCCTTAGATTGGATTCCACGCTTCATAGGAAGCACAGATGTGCCGGTGACTAGCTTTCCGCACTCGACGCAACGCAGTCAAACGCACTCAAACGCAAGTGTCTGAATCGGCCTTAAGTGCCTTATTAGGAGCTCACCTAGCGGTGAGCGCGTGCCTCTCCTTGCGGTCCGTGTCCTTGGTGAGCGGCGGCCTGCCCTTGCCGACCCAGAGCTGCTTCTGGCCCATGGCGGGATGGTTCTGGATGTGGTCGGGAAGCTTCTCCAGCTTCTCCTTCAGCAGGCTTATCTGGCTCTTGCTGAGGCCGTCGGACACCTCCCGTAGTACTTCGTCCGCAAAGGCTGAAGGGGAAACAATGAGCAAATATGAACGTGCTGTGCGAACGTAGAGCTTTGGAAATTTGACGGCCCTGGGTAGGGCTCAGGTTAAATTTCTCTTTCTGTGTCGTCTGCTGATTGGTTATTGTCGTCTGTACTCTTCAAAAGTCCGTCAGTTCACTTTTCCGCAGAACAAGCAGACAGCCAATCAATGCGCACAGTAGGACTCCAGCGAATGGTGAAGCTCAAGCAGAATACAGCTAGCATTTAAAAATGCGGTGTGTGCAAATAAACTTCGCAACTTTCACGGTCTACAGGGGGCGCACGATTTACTCTAAAGATGGCTTTCTTCTGAATGATCGTCATAGACAGCAGTACGAGGTTGGGTCCGCGACACGTAATTCTAATTTTGTGAAATACGAGCGATATAGGCGCCTCACTTCATACATCCACGTTAGGAAGGTGTAAGCGAGCACTTTCGTTCTGAAGCCGATCCTCCAGGAGCTAGGGAGCGTGATTCTCGCACCGCAGTACCACCATCGCTGAAGGTTGCGAATGATGGAGTGCCTTCATACACACGCGCGCTTTTCCTTGAGTGGTGACATCTCAGCCATTTTTCCGCCCAGTCGTTTTTTTATGCATTTTGAAGTGCGCGCAATCCGGTGTCAGTCAGCTCGAGCGCATAGCTTTGGCTAACGCATAGACGCCATTTTACCGCCCAAGTCACGCACCGAGCGCTCGAGAGCGTCACGCGCTGACACATCCAGGGCAACAATGGATGTCTTCACCCTGAGACAGACAGACATGTAGGCACCCTAGCGAATGAACGAGTGAAGCGCCATGCTCAATCTCGCTGCGCAGATCGCGCTTTTCACATCGTATTGCATTTTGAGCTCCGTCGTTTTTTTGGGATTCTTCTCTTGTACGCCGCGATTGGCGGTCTCCGTGTTCTCCGGGAAAAAAAGAAAACGCATGCATTCTTTTTTTTTTTTTTTTTTTTTACAGTATGCTTGTGAGTTTTTTTGTTTTTTTTTATTGGGTGCATCATTTTAGAGTTCTCTCTGCAGTCTTCTGCTAACTTCCTTCTTTGTTTGATATATCCTATCTTTTTACTTGTTTTGCCTTTAAATATGGGCAACGTGAAAAAAGTCTAGGAGCATTATATATAGTCTAATTCTGCCTACATTGGTACTTAGAAGGTAATGAATTAAAAACCGCATCTTCAAAGAGGCTTTTGTTTCACCAAAGCGGAAAAAAAAACCTGCAGCTCCCTTTTAGGTTTTTTCTTGGAATAAACGCAAATGTTCACTACTGGAAACTTGTGCACATGATCTTCTCTCCTTGTGACCGCAGCAATTACATCAATAAAGTGGTTCAGAATGTAGCCAGATTCAAACGAACATTCTGTCAGTGGTGTGCCAAATACTCAACGAAAGTATTTAAGACAAGATACGAAACACTGCTTTTAAAATGTATTCTAAGTAGTTTTCAAGTTACTTTTAGTACAGACTTTCTTAGTACAAATACTCCGAAAAAGTAATTGAATTACATTCGAAGATACTTAACGAGTATGTTGCGAGCTGGTAATATATAAAAAAGTCAGAACGGGTGTTCTGTTTGTGATGACTTCGTTGAAAACCACATTTTACTGTGACCTTTATGACTTTCAAGAAGCGCCTTAGCTGGTGTGATTGAAGTTTGCTTCCAAATAATTCGAGATATGCAACATAATGGCCAGATGCCGACATAGATGCCGGGGCTCACGAATTGAAGACGCCTGCCGTGCTTCAGTTTGCGGCAGGCTCGGCTCATGGAGTCCTTCCACACTAAGTTCGTAATATGCATCGTCGCGATTCGGGAGACTTGACATGTAATCCGGCATTGCATTTAGACCGATCTCACCAGCCAGTTGGACTACGCCACCGCTGCCGCAATGCATCCAGGGAACTTTAGTCTTCCTGCACGTGCGACAACCTCGCTGGATCTCTGCGCGTGAGGAGCATGAAACAGCACGAGCTCTTTCGTGCACTGCCGTTTGCCTCCTGTGAGCTAAAGTTATGGTGGCGTCACGCATGCGCCGAACGCTCGGTGAGATCGGTCGAACGAGACGTTGACCAAGCAGCCTGACTTGTTGATGAGCACACGAGTGAACGACACACGTGAACGCTCGTGACAAACATCGACTCGAGGAGAGTAGCATCTGTCGCTGATCAACAACCAAGACCGAGTCTCCTTGTTCCGCCCAAGTCAAAAGCGAATAGGAGCATCTATATCTTCACACTGTACTTCAAAACGCACATGGGTCTATCCATTTGGTCTTTTTTTGGCATTTGGAGACTGCTTTCTGCTCGTGCCTTGTTCCCTGTCCTGTGTTCGGTTGCTTGGCTCCAACTGTGCAGTCGGTTCAGCTTTGCCCTCGAGTCTGACGATCCCTAGTTCCGCATATTGTTTCGGCGAAAATTGTTTTCCAATGTTGCAGAATGTACTTAAAATATTGAATACAAGATACTGAGAAATGTAATTAAGATAAGGCAGCGAACATCCTAGACTGAATGTATTTGCAATTTATCGAAATACTACCAAAGGTGTTTGAAATACAGTATCTTGAGTAGAGTATTTAAGATAGGCACAAGTAAAGACTCCTTCATTACCTTTTATGATGAGCTTCACCAAGCCATCTTCATAGTAGTCCTTTCCTTGTAGGTCGCTGTTGGACGGGGCCGCTAACGCTGTGAGGGGGAAGCATAAAAAATACAAGCTCAAAATATAATACCAGCTCCTTCAAATACAACGAAAGCGGCTTTCTTTAATCCTGCTCTAGATGTGATGTTCAGATAAACCCCACGAAGATAGCCGCAGTTTCGTCAGGTTGCCCCGCTGGAAGAACTGAGTCTTCTTTACGAAACATCGGCTGTCGTGCAGTGGTTTCATTATTATCTCAATCGCAACTGCTTGCTTGAGACCTCCCTTGTCTTGTCTGCACTAGATAATTCGATGCTATGCGGGGAGAAACTGAAGTAGAGGAGGAGATGAAAGAGGGCTGTGTGACCTTGTTCGCTCTGACTAGAAAGACAGTGGTTAGAGAGGAAGGCTGCTAGCCTTTGCGTATTCTCACACTCCTTCCAATCAGAGCTTGGTACTGTGACGTCGATGCACGCTCTCATTTCCTCATCATCAGTTAATCTTCAAATTCTTGCCCGCTACATCATCATCACGCCATTCGAAGCCGCCATATGCATGGGGGGGGGGGGGGGGGGGGTGCACATCTTTTAGTTGTGGACGAGGCACATCTGCATTTAATGCGGTTTTAATGACATTATGACAATGTATTTGTACACTCAGTGGGTTGCTTTTTAGTTTTGGTTCAAAGAATAAAAGAAGGGAAGGCCGCGAAATTCTGGGAAAGGAATTGTCAGCAACGAGGTCGCGAGAATCGTCACTCAAGCAACGGGTAGGTGAGCGGCGTTTGGCAACTTCCGATTCCTTACGAAATTTTGTTTAGCTGTTAGCAAACAACTACGATTATCTGCAAGCTTGTCTAAACATGGTTCTAAAAACTACAATCTGGTGGTTCCAGAACCATGGTTGCACAGGCTTGCAGATCATTGCCGTCGTTTGTCAACAGTGAAACAAAATTTCCTAAGGAACCGGGAGTTGCTAAACGCCGCTCACCATCCAAGTGAATGGTATTTTATCGAAGAGGTTTGCTGAAGGGTTAGTACTGGACTTGCAGCAGGTGATCATATTTTAGTTCTACGACTCCCACTTTGCCGGCACTGCTGTCTCTCAGCCGAAACTATCGGTAAGGGAACCCCCCAATGTGGCGGAAACTTTATAATTAATAACATAAGCGCACAAGATGGCGCTTCTTTTTTCATATGGTCCATTACGAATTATTACTAAACAAATAGGGAGTATTCACTGGACGCCATATTTGGGGGTGCTGTTTAGAGCGCAAGCTCAGAACGAGCTCACATTAACAGCCTGCTAAGACCGGCAATCTTGATGCTGGGGAATGCACGTTGCAAAAGGACTGTGGAAGCTCGCCATCAGCACGCGTTCAGCATTCGCGCGCACAGCTATGGCCGCCAGTGAATACTCCCTATAGGCACTTTTTATATGCTCCATGGCAATAAAGAGAAATAATCAACAAACAAATGACATGGCGTTATCGTCTTATCCGCGTAGACATAAAGCCGGAGTCGCACTGCTCACACCATCATACAAAAGACAGTCTGCAAACACGAGCAACCGCAATATCCGGGGTTCGAATGCCGCGTGCCAAGTTTACTTTTTAAACCCATTGCCATGCGGCATTCGAAGCACGGATCTCACGGCGAGTCGCGTTCGCATCTGTATGCAGACTGTCCTTCGTATGATGTATAAGCTGTGTGACCCCGACTTAAAGGAGCGATGCAACATTTTTTGTGCTTTGCGCAAAGACCGCTTAAAACGGATCCCTAACGTTAATGACCTATGAAACACTCGTTCGTTCTTCACCCCACGCAATAGAAGTCCCAGAAAAAAATTTAAGAAAAACAATCAGCGTTCACCCCCTCAACTCACAGCCGGAACAAGCGGCCACGTGATCTGGAGCCGATTATATGCCGCCAGTGTTGATCATAGCCACGCGCAGGGGTTGGCAAAGCGCAGGACACGCGCTGAGTTCCAGACATTGTTATGGCTCGGCTGTTGTCGTCGTTGCAGCGATTGGACACGGGTCACTACCCGAATGCTTCTCGAGCTAGCAATTATCACGAGCCCAAGTCGAGTGCCCACGCAATGCTCGGATCCAATCTATGAACCGCATTCAAATATCGCCACTTGGGTGTACTGCGATCCCCACGTTACGTCGTCAAATTTTGCAAAGGAGAGATTGAATGAAAATGATCGCTTTTGTCCTTGAAATTGCACCGCAACAAAGGAGTTTCTTGGCCAGTGGCGTTGCGTGTGGGTATCCTTGAGTCTCAGGTGTGCCAGTAAGCTCGTGTAGAGTGAAAAACATTCCAATTGAATATCGTTGCCAAGGTCCCTTAAGGCAAAGTTGGTTGAACATTCATTCGCAACCTTACAGAAAGCGCTCATTGATTTTGTCAGTTCCTTAAAGGGGTAATAAAACGATGTTGCAACTTATGTCTCCTTAGCTTTCATCCTCAACTCAAAAGCAAATTCAGAAATCATGTCGTCGTGACATGCTTGGGCATTGGTGTGGTGGCTCCAAGCTTCTACCGTGCTTTTTAAGAACACCATAGAACGCCGGTTGGAGCGCAGCTCTTGAGGAGGAGGATGGAAGCGTACTGAGGGACAGGTGACTCTTAAGGTCACGTGACCTCATGGGAAGTCGGGTGACGTCAAGGGGGTCACGTGACTTCAGGGGTCACGTGACCTCAGGGGGTTCACGTGACTCCAGGGGTCACGTGACCTTAGGGGGTCATGTGACCTCAGGCGGTCACGTGACCTCGGGGGAGCACGTGACCTAAGGGGGGTCACGTGACTTCAGGTTGGTCACGTGACCTCGGGGGAGGGGATCGCGCTGTGCATTATGGGACATTTCCCATAATGCACCGTGCGGTTACGCCGACGGCGACGCCGACGCCGACGCCGACGCCGCTCAAGCCGGAAACGGGCGCCTAAGAGCTGCGCTCTAAAAAGGGATAGAAAAACCCCGGTTTCCGCCACCCGCCTGGAGTCTTCTAGATCCTGCTATTTCTTTCTCCTTCTTGTTGTCTCTATGCCACTCTTCGTCAACATCCTGTTTGGTGCTCGTCTGGGTTTCATAACTCGGGCCCCGTCTCTTCGCAACCCGAAAAACCCAAGAGGGAGGGGGAAGCTCCCAACAGACGCCAACGTGTCTGGTCCCACGAACCGGGCAAGGCGCCCAAGGACAGGTCTTAACCCTTTTTTTCTGACGAAAAATAAAAATGGGGCGAACGCAAAAGGTAGAAAACCGCTCTGGCTCCAAAATAACCGAAGGCAGCAAGCTTGCAGCTGTGTGACCCGACGCACTAGCACCTAGAAGTCTAGGCCTACTCATGACGTCATCGTTAATTGGTCCCCGACTCGCCCTTGGCGACAAACAACCCGAAGCTCGGAGACAGAGGCTGCAAATCGGCAGACACGTCTGTCTTGGCGTTACTAAGTTCTAGCGTCGCGCTGGGTCTAAGACAGACTTGTGACTATCTAAGATACTGTATTCCAATTGCTTTTCCTAGTAATTTGGTACGTTGAAAATACGCTCGATCGAGAGTATACTTGCTTTTCTATGTTTAATTACGTTTCTCGATATATTGTACTCCTTATCTCAAATACTTTTTTTTCAATGTTAGAAAACATGTGTCGAAGGAACATTTTATGTGAATAGGAATCGCGCCACACTTTCGCGCAATGTTTAATTGATTGCAAACTTGAAGCGGAAGCGACCGAACACTGAACAGGAAGCAAACCAGGACCAAAGATGCAGACTCGAAATGCCAGAAATAGAAGGAAATAAAGAAAAGGGATCCGACCAACTCGTCGAAAAACAACCCGTCGACGGCCAACTTGTCGACGGCCAATTCGTCGAATAGGCTAATTCGTAATAGGGCAATTCGTCGAAAGGCAACTTGTCGAAAGGGGAAATTTGTCGAAGAGCGATTCGTCGAATGGGCTGAATAACGGTTCTAGGTAAAAGTTCGTGGTTCCTCGTTATCGTTTGACCTAAATTTTTACTTGTGTTTGGACTAAGGACAGCGCCCTTCTTAGGTTACAAGACGGAAAGAAAAATCACAAGAGGGCGAAGACAGGACAGCACCTTGAGACAAGTTGAGAAATGTCCATTTAGGGATCGTACTTTTGTTTGTTTCGTTTAATACTTTTTGTAATGAGCCACCGCAGACTGTCGCCGCGAAGCGGCGTGACTAGTGGGCTAGGTGGGTTAGCATTTCTGTTATGAGCCGTAGCCGACTGTCGCCGCGAAGCGTCGTAAACGGGTGGGCCGGGTAGGTTAACACGCGCCCCAGTGATACACGCGCGACGTAGTGATCGTCCCCAACTGTACCCTGAAAGCGGCGAAAGCTGCAAGTCTATTACCATGCGGTGATATTACGCATTACTATAGGGCAGGATTTGCTTAAAATTTCAGGAAAAAAAGTATATAATATGGCTTTCAAACAGCGGCGCCCATTTGGCCTCTTTGACGAGTTTTCCTATGACGGATTGGCCTAATCAACGAATGGGCCGCAGACGAGTTGGCCGTCCACGACTTGGCTTTCGACGAGTTGGCCTAGACCAGAAGAAAAAATATCGGAAGAAAACCCAAGTTTTTTGTTTTGTTTGTTTGCTTGTTTATGTTTTGTTTTGCTTCGGCAAGCCCCATGACAGTTTGACCCACGCCCGACCCTTCCAAGAGGACAGAGAGTGCAAGATGGCAAGAAACAAGCTGCGAGATTGAATGAACCTTCGAAATGCGAACAAAGAGTCCTGCCGAAGTTGCACGTCTTTCTGAAGAGGTTCCCAGAGCTAAGTTTGAGGGAAACAATAAAGAAATCGACAACCGCGAGGAATACAGCAGTGCTTCTCCCTGTCCTTGTGTGCCTTTCCTTTTGAAGTTTAGTCATCTCACAATGCAACGTTTTGGGTACCCTGCTTCACTAAGGCGCGACAAGTGCCATGCCTGCTATTCCCTGGTTCGTTTAACATAAACTCCGAATATAGAAACTCGCGCCGCATAGTAAAACGATGGCTCCGAGGT